GGGCAGGAAGGGTTATCAGATGCACCTGCCCTACCTCCAGCCAACACAGCATCCACCACAGGCATTAGAAGATCACTTGGCACCTTCTCTTGTCCAAGATACTTGTTTATGAACAAAGCTGCCCATAAAAAACCAGCTCTCCCATATAGAAGATCATATGACATTCCAAAACCACCTTCCTCTGGTCCAACTGAGAGGGCCTTCTCTTGTGCTACCTACACATGATCAACCCAATAAGTATTATATAACCGGCACCTAATCTTCCAGCTTTAAAGGTTCTATCAAAACAAAATTTAGAGCAGATACATTGAACCTTCCAAGTCCAACCCAACTGACTGGCCATTATCAACCATACACGTTCTAAAGTAAAGATAATTTTGAGGGAGGTGCTAACTACATTAGTTGGTAATTTAAGTCCCTGACATCTTGCAAACTGATCCTAACGAGAGCAGTTTTGCCCACTACGTTCAACCATATTGTAGCATTACTTATTTTGTCACTCGTTGTGTCCCGGGAAAAAAAATTCAAAACTTTGATCTACAGGAAGAGGGGAAAACAATCCTCTCCATCTCAAGGATGGAGAAGGAGCTGATCCAAAAACAGGAAGACTCAGGGTGCGGATAAGCTTCCATAGAAAGTTGCTTGTATTAGCACAGACAGTTAGTTTAATTTTCCGTACAAGCAACATCTTTTGACTTTGTAGAATGTATAGATTTTAACTGGTGACCTGATATTTCCAACGGGCCAGAGAGAAAGGAGAAAAAAAAAAAAGAAGCAAAGATATTCCAAGATAGATATTGTTGGTAAGAATATACTCGAAAGACATTATGAGAGATTCTATCAGTACCATATTTATTGACCAAATTGTTGACCTCCTCTCTAATACAAGTTGGCAAATAGCATTATTGTATATTATAAAATCCATAAATAGATAGGTAATAGAAGTTGTACTAAAAATACGACAGAGATGCCAGTAGGGTATAGTTCAGTTGGTTGAGCTCTTCCACCTCCATCCATACACCCAATGAATATTTGTGTAAAACTCCCTCTCCCAATCGTTCGTACTCAATAAATAAAAACGATAAGAGATATTAAGATGAATTGGAGACTTAGATCGATATTTATACCTCAAGGAAAAGGTTCAAATACAAGTCACGCCTTTGATGGTCGCCAATCAAATTGGCCACTACAGCTCCAATGGCGTAAACTCCTCCTCTACCACATAAAAACGTCATGTGCCTGCATAAACCAAGAATGTCCATTAATAATAATAGAGACAAATTAGCTAAAATATCCTTGACATATCCTGCCTCAAAAAAGGGAAGAAGATAATTCCAGGTTCATTTAATTTACGATTTTTTGTTTCTTT